CAACATGTAATTAAGATTGTAATATGGCACAATTTACATAATAAATACCTTAACAAAACTTCTTTCCCATTTTCTTGCCAGAACTAATATGAAAATACATAACATTTTAGTGAAGATAGAAAAATTATAATAGCTCTATACCGTTCTGATCAAAACCCAACCATCTGGCTAGTTAAAAGAGATAAAAGGTACATAAAGAGAATTAACATATAGGAAAATTTGGATTTATCGCCAGGAGCAGTCGAACCAGTTTCATTTCCGTAAGTTAACTATATATATGTAAGCCTTAAGAAATAAACATGGTTTAAATCACATATATAAAATCCTAGCAATCATTTGACCTCTGTATAAAAACATTATTTTATTAAATTATATTTTCTTTAGATATTCTGTTTTGTATACTAATTTTTATTTTTGGGTTGTTGTTGATTCTTTTTAAAACTGATAGTAATTGTTTCTCCATTCTTAAAAAAAAAAATCAGCTTTGCAAAAAACTGTATGTTGACAGTCACTGTTGTCAGAATTTTCTTACAAAATACATCAAATACCTTTTATTCACCCTAAATTAGCATATTTGGTATAGGAGAACAAGTAAACAATGGAAAATAGTATAAGAGTGACTAGCTAACACACATGAATCCCCTAAGTCACAGATTATGTGGCTTATCACAAAGGCCAGCTCTCAACGTCATATTCCAAACCATTTAAATAACCAATTATCTTAAGGACAATATATTAAAGTAACAGTATTATATAAACTAATATATATTAGAGTTAAGAAACTTGCGTCATCTTATCTTTAGCACCCTCTCTGAATTAGTAAAACAGAGCACTCATTCCTCTATTCCTATGTAAGCATATTCATGTTCGCAGATAACCGAATCTCACGCACACCCCGTGATGAACTATCCTTCATTTACTTGCAAACCGCAATAAATTCCTTTGTACCTATATCTTTTTCATGCTGTGCAGAGGCATACACAAGTATTTTATTCATTTTAACTCACAGCCATAAATCCCTTTGTTTTTATATCTTATTCATGCTGTGCGGAGGCATATACAAGTGTTTTTTTCATTTCAAGTCATAGCACCATCCAGGGGAGAATCCAGGATATCAATGTACTACTGGGTGCACTAGTCATAAAATGAAAACTGTCTAATGGAGGTCTCGGGGTTTGTTATGGCTGCACAGCACAACTTTCCACCTGTTCTAACAGAGATTTCATGATTTTTCACATGAAAATTACGAAATATATAAAACTTATGTCCCCCCCCCCCATAATGCCTTACCTGACTTCGCTCCTGGCACCAACCTTACAAAACTAAATAATTAACAACAAAAATAACCATAATATTTTGTTAAAATGATAAGAAAAAATACACCAATATACCTTTATTTAATGTAAAACTATTTAAATAAAAATTATTTTTAAAAGCATCTATTGGTTAGTTAGAACGGTAAGAAAAACATTATGTGCAAAAATATTGCATTAGAAATGTAAAGATTTTTTGAAAAAAAAAATGAAAAAAAATGGTAGTAGAATGATACTTATCTAGAAACAGAGGGAATGTCATTATTTTAAAATATTTGTTTCTTAGTTTCAATTTACATTATATTTTTCATCTTTGACTTTATCAATTGTAGCACTGGTGATTTTTATTGATTTTTCTTTCTCAATTTATCTTAATGTTTTAAAACACACATAAAAATTATTAGTTCACATGTATAGTAACATACATGTATCTCAGTAAAAAAATAAAAATTAATACATAAGAACACAAAAGAGTCCCGAACACAATAAATATGTTTTATTATTTTTTTCTCATGTTTTTATTTGTGTCTCATAATCTTTTTTGTTATTAAAAAAATTATGTGAATTTTATTATAATTAAAACTTATGAATTATATTAATAGAGTGGTAACTCTAGTCTTGTATCAAGATAAGATTCCGATTTTAATTTTCTTGTTTTAAGAAAAAATTTCTTGATTAATATAACTTAAATGATTTACCATATTTTTATGTTTTTAAATATAAAAAATTATTTAATTATTTCTGAAAATGATAATCAGCTATAATATCACATTCATATTAGAAAATTATCGAAAGTTTTCTAAATTATATATTTGACTGTTTTACATTCATTTAACACAGTTTTAGAATATACATAGTAAACGAGTGAGTTTAACTTATATTATTAGGTTTAGATTAATTAGCTTTCTAAAATCTATGATTTGTTGTATCCATTACTAATATAAATATATTAAAAAAAATTATATAATTATTTTTGTAGTATCATATGTATTTATTTGTATATTATCAATTTATATAATGTAATTTATGATATATAATTTTTTCTATAAATAAATTATACTAATTCATCTATATTTAAGATGTTTAATTATTTATTTGGAAATATAGATTATGTTATGTAATTTTATGATTAGTTTCCTTTTAAAAACGTCAATTAAATAACTAAATAAAGGGTCGTTTATCAATCAAATTATAACAATTAATTATAGAATTCTCCTATAGCAACACATCAGCAGAAGTAACTTGTCAATTAATATATTGAAGGATTATAAGGTTTAGATTAATTAGTTTTTTGAAATCTATGATTAATTGTAGAGAAATTCCCAAGGATGGAACTAAAAACGTTTTTGTCACAAATATAGACTTTAAAAATAAAAATGATCAAAATATACTTAAATATTTTACAAAAATAAGTAAATATACACTTATACCCTTGGGGTTAACTAATTCTAGATTTTTTTTTGTTAGAGTTGAAGAGTGGAGTTTTGGGAATAGAATTTCAATTTTTTTTGTAAATAAAAAAACTTAAAATTTTGAAAATAAAAAATGCTATTTTGCTCATTTTAATTTTTGTAGTCGATTTTGTGATAAAAATTTAAAAAGGTCTATTTGAGAGAATTGCCCTTTATTGTATTCACTACTAATATAAATATATTAAATACCATTTTTATAATTATTTATGTATTATCATATGTATTTATATGTATATTATCAATATATATAATGTAATATTTTACATTTAATTTTTTCTATAAATAGATTATTTTAATTTATCTATATTTAAGATGTTTAATTGTATGTTTGGAAATATAGATTAGATTAGGTAATTCTTTTAAATTTTTTATTAATTAAATAAAAAATGGATAACTATCAACCAATCAAATTATAACAACTAATTGGAGAATTCTCATATGAGTGATATATCAGCAAAAATCACTTATAAGTGACTTCTCAATTAATATGTAGGGGGATTGTATTATTTTTTTTATATATTTATATTTGGTATGTGATATCAGATTATATGGATCCCAAACCAAACCACATGAAACTATAATTATTACAGATAAAAAATCAAAGTTTAGCAAATATACATACAAGTTTTGAATATTTCATAAACACATCAACAAATTCAGTTCACTTTACTATAATTTGATTATCCATGCTATAATCAAATAGTACAGTATCTGAACTTCCATTGAAACTTAAAAAAAAAAAACATCCAAACTGTAATATTCAAAACCTCTCCTAGGAAAAAAACAAAACTTGTCTGAGCCCAAACCAGTCTTGCCACAGGATGGGACACACAAATAAGACGTGGTTAATGGATTCTCCCATTTCCCCACACTTTTGACAACTAGGATTTACCATCATCCCTCTTGCCAATAGATCATCACTTACCGCTAGAGAATTAGATAGAGCCTTCCATAGAATGATCTTTATCTTCGGAGCAATATTCACTTTCCACACTTTACTTCGCAGAACACTCAAAGATGGTCGAGCCATAACTTCCCTACGTACTACAGATTGGTCCACCAAACATGCTAGCCAATATCCGGACTCAACGGAATACGCACCCCATTTACTGTGGACCCATTCGTAAGAATCATTCTTACCAAACGCTCGCCTCTGTTTTATGATAAGATCGATATCTTGTTAGAAGAAATTTTCTTCAAGCTTCCCCATATCTCATGTTTTGGTTTGAGGGTGGATAACGGAATACTATCCTATACCAAATAGTACAGTATCTATTTTGATATTTTTGACTGATTCATAACTATGGAATATCCAACCAAATTAATCTGAATTGTTACCGCTCATAATCCTCTATACATTATTTTTAAATTGATTTTGACAGAACTAAAAATGATTATATGGCTTAAGCTAAAATGCGAATAGACAATAACATTTAATTTTTATTTTTGGTTAACTTTCAAAATATGGTAATACTTATATATCTTCGTAAATAAACGTTTTAAAATATGGTAATAACTTGTACATCATCATTAAAATAAATATATTTAAATATATAACAAAAAAATTTATATTTACAAATTTTGAAATATTATTTTTTTATTTTATAATCATACCATTTTTATTACTAAACAAGATTTCAAAATTTATACCATATTTTAGAAAATAATAATTTTAATCAATAGTATTTGTTTCTTTTTGATATCTGTAAATTTTAGAAATTCTATTTGGTTTTATTTTTTGTAATTATACAATTTTATATCATTTCCTATTTTTTTTTTACAAATTGATTCAATTTATCTTAATCCAAAGAAATAAATGGAATGCTATCCAAGATTATAATTTATAATAAATTAAATTGTTTATTTTTTTTTGAATTTTATATTTAACTAAATCAAAATTTATATTAAAATATTGATATAAAATATTAAAGTCTAAAATATTAACGAAATTTTATTTTGAAAAATAAAATTTAAATTAAAAATCTATTTGCACATGGTCCTAGTAAAATCAATGAAAGAACAGTTATTTTTTTTTTGAAACAAAAACAGTTAATTTTTTTATTTGTTTTTTGCATGCGTTAAAGCCAAATTCCCAAGCAATAAACAATTCCCACGTGGCATAAACGCATTACCTTTATTGAAAAGTTGTAACGGCTACTTCATTTTGAATCCCCCTCACGCCTCTCTGTATAATCCTTTCTGTGTGCTTTCTTGAGCAAACCCTGAACTCTCATTCTTAAATAAATTTCTTGTTCTTGAAAACTGACCATGAGAAGCGAGAGAATCGATTCAGACGAAACAGAAACGAGAAGAGCGAGGATGAATCTCTCGCAAGAAGTCGACGACTACATCAAAGACACCATTGATCACTCCTTAGGCCGTCCCATCTCAACGGAATCTCTCCAAAAGAAGCTTCTCGCGGCTGAAGAATCACAACGCCGTCTCCGAGATCAGTATCTGTCTCTTCTTTCCAGATTAAAGGAAAAAGACCAAGTACTCGACCGAGTTAGGGTTAGTAACTCGTTCTTGGTTTTCGTTGTAGATTTTAAATTGACTGAGATCTGATCTTGTTTCTTTTTTTTTTTTTTGCTAAATTTAGTCGGAAGCGAGTATGAATGCACAGGCGTTGAAGAAGTTTGTGGACGAGAACCAGAAACTGGCAGAGGAGTGCGGGAACTTGTTGAACCAGTGTAAGAAATGGGAAAGAGAATGTTTGCTTTATCATCAAGATCGTGACGCCTTGATGGAGTTCGGGAATGAAGCGGATGAGAGAGCGAGAGAGGCAGAAGCTAGGGTTCGTGAATTGGAAGAGGAAGTTGGAAGAATGTCTGAGGAATTGCAAGTTTGTAAGAGACGACAAACTGAAGTTGAGAAAGTAAGAATCTTTCTTAGTATAAGTAAATTAGTTTGCTTTTTTGCACTTACAGCAGATCTAGAATTTGAGATTTGAAACATGTCTTCGTATTCACTTTGTGCTGCTTCGTAGAAACTCATATGACTGATGCACTTGAAAGAAACACCTAAGTGACTCATTTGCTTCAGAATTGCGTTGCTTTTGGGTTAAATTATCTTGATTATGGTTTCTCAAGTTGTTTTTGTCTTCTCTGTTAAGTTGTTTGAAACTTGTCTTCTTATTGATTCATAAGTCCATCAGTTTCGTGTTGCTATGCAGAGAGTCTTTAAACTGTAGGTAGTTAGTTATCAGAAAGAGACAATCTAATTACCCATTTTTGGTGTTTCTTGAGTAATGAATCTCTGTTAAGCAAATTATCTTGATTTTGGGACTTGGTTAGACTGTTCTTGACCAGATGGTTTCTCAAGTGGTTATTTCTTCTCTATTAATTTGGAATTTCATTAGTCCATGAAGACTTTAACTAGTAGTTAAGATCTGATTGATGCACTTGAAACATACACTATGTTAACTCACATTAAGTTTCTAGCCTAATATATTTTGTCAATCCATACTGCTTTACTTGCTGAAAGGTAATCTGTCACATATTCCCTATTGCTAGCCGTTTTTATAAGCTAAAAGTGGTTAAAAATGTTACCTTGTCTTTGGTTATTGAGAGATTGTTTGTTCAATTCTTGATTTTACTTACATTCATCCTTCTTGAGGGTTCAAGTTACTTACGGATAAAATGTCCACCAGTTTGTACCATTTAGAAAGTTATGTTAGTGCCAGAAGATGCATCTATTAAGCTTCACTTATTTTCAGCTGGAAATATAAACATCTATACGTTATTCATCAACTTAAAGAAAAACCTGACAGATATATGTTTTTTCACTGTTTCCCTTAAAAGGTTGACAACTGCTCACCGCTGGAAGAAGATTTACTTGATTCAGTTTTGGGATCACTCATAAGCAAAGATGAAAATCTAGTAGGGCGTCTCTTCTTAGAGGCAAACATTCAAGATCAGTCTTGCCAAGCCTTGTTGAGCAAATGGGATCGACTAAAGCCTTCAACGCAAAAGGTTCTGTCTTTAGTTTCAGTGGCAAAGAAATTTGAAAAAGAAAGGGAATGCATCATCCAGAATCTCGCTAAAGCCGAACAAGAGGTAATATAACACTCTTTATTTGTTCTTTGTTCTGAAATCATTCCACTTAACCCTGTAAACTTATAAACAGGCAGAACTCGTGAGCATGCAAAACCGAAAGCTGGATAAAGAAAATCGTAAGTTGTTAAGGCAGCAGCAAAGCCCTCTTGGTTCTGCTGAAACAAGCCACAAAAGCGCATCTGCTAAGGTAAAAAAAATGAAAAGCAGATATGGAATTTTCTTAAACATGGTTTCTACTTGATCTAACTTGTAGATGGTCTTATGTTGCAGTCAAACAAGAGAAAGTGTCCAAAAATGATGAGCAGCCCAATCGAGAAGATGCTTGAGTTTAGCGGCAGTCCAGAAATTAGCAGGAAGCCTCTATCACCTGTTTGGGATAACTCAGTAGATTCTAGGATTAATAAGAAGTGATGACAAACATGTCCCTGTATTTTCAATGTGTGTGTCTTGTAGATTGAGATTACATTGTTGCTTCTCTGAAGCTACTTACGATGAACTGTGACAAAAGTAGAGAATGTGGTTTCTTTCTCTAAGCAGTTATATGGGCAGAGATACTTCAAAACAGTGTAGAGAAGTAAGAAGTACAAGACTGATCTAGTTAGAACTGAAAACTAGTAGTGATGGTCAGTTTCAGACCAGATCAAAATCTCAAGAAAAACTCTAAGAACTTGCTTTGTTAAAATATAACACAATGCTCTTTTTGCTTGTCATTTGGTCTCAGATTGAAAGTCTTTAATTTTTTTAGTCTGTATTTATTAGAGAAGTTGGACATAAAAACAGCAGTTTTCTGAAAAAAAATCAACAAATATTAGTATTCAGATTCTACAATGTAGCTTTTTACATTACAAAAAGAAAATGAAACCTACACTTAAGACTTATGCCCAGTTAAAAGTGAAGTCAAAAGCAACACTGTCTACAAGAATCACGTATCAAGAGCCTCAAGTCATTAGAATCTAATTCCTCGAATCTTCTGTGAGCTTTTTGAAGGAGTTTCAGAACGTTAGACAATGCTCCTTTGCTTCGACTCTCATCTCTCTTCTTCTCAGCGTAAGATTCCCACTTCATACCCTCTCTGAAATAAATGTACTTTGAGATCTTCAACACGTTTCTCTTGTGTTTCGGCCAAACAGTACTTGTATCATCAACAATGACCACTCTACGTTTATCCGCAGAAAGAAGATCAAGTGTCTTCGTACAAGGGCTTTTTTCTCTTGTTATGACTCTATCTCCGAAATAGATTTTATCCGGATCAATGAAACTCAATACACTCTTCGCGTAACGGTAAGTGCCCATCGTGTAAACGTACATGCAGAAAAGCTTATTGGCTTCTTGCAGAAAGTCTTCAAGGAAAGGTCGTAACTTTATGAGATGCTCGTTGGGATTGCCTTTTTCGAACCTCCCTAGATCAACCCTTGAATCAGTTTCTTCGATTAGATACCGTTCCTTCTGAGAAAGCTGTGAGACATGGATACTGTGGAGAAGAGTGTGATCCAAGTCAAGCACTAGGTGGAGTTTCTTCTCCCTTTTCTCTTCGTTCAAACAGGAGGGTTTGTTTCTTCGTTTGGTTTTATCGAATAAACGAAAGAGTCGTTCCGTAAGATGATTTCTCAACGACATGGCTTCTGTGTTGTCTCTCGACTAGAAAAATCGAAGCGGTGACGACGACAAGGAGAAGGTGGCAGTGACCTAACTAAGTCTCTGAATCAACAGAAAGCCTTTGAAATAGAGAAAACAATAAACCTAATTTGATCGGAATCGACAACGAGTAAATAATCGGTAATAATGAGTCCGATTGCGTGCTTTGTTCGTATTATAACAGAGGGAGAGATCTGGGTCAGAGTAACGAAAAAAGGAAATTACAAATTGGTAAACAATGCGTGTTAACGGCTAATTCTAATTATGATTAATTGACTATTATATCCTCTCAATTTCTATATTATTATATTTAGAGATTATTTGCTGAGATATCATTTTATGACCCATAATTAGGGAAATACACATGATGTGACTGAATCAAATATAATGATCATAATGTCCTTCTGACTCTCTTTCATCACTCTCGCTCTCCTGACACTCTCTCTCTCTCTTTCCTTCGATATCACCTTCAAATTCTCTCATCATCTTTTTTTTGTCATACTCTCTTCTATTTTTTTTTTGTTCTTTTTTTTATCTGATGAAATATTTTTTATCTTGAGGTTTCAAATTATAATTTGCTATATGTAACATTAACAGATGTATTGTTAATAATATATATACAGAAAATAATGGGGTGTTAATTGTTAACAAATACATTTACCAGTTGTACTAACAGAGATATTAACTGCGAACAAATTTTGTAGATGTCACCAAATGTCTTAGCTGAAACAAATACATGTACCATAATTGTTAACAGAGGTGTTAGTTGTTAACAAATTTGTAGATGTCAATACCTGCGTTAGGTATTATAAGTTAACAAATAAATATTGTCGAAGTTTCAATTTCTCTCTCGAACTGAATAAATTTACCAGGTAACAAAACATGTATCAGTTAACAAATAAGTTAACCGTTAAAAAATAATTTAACACTAATATCGAATTTATAACAAATTGTAGATTTTAGAGATTTTTAAATCTGCAATCAATTTGTAATTTATATTTTCAATTATGTTACATGTTAAATTATTTTATCTATTATAATTTTATATATTATATTTTTAAAAATATTATTATTTGATAATATTTTTAACATTAAAAAATCTAATAAACATGTGGACAAAAATGAATTAGGTAGCAATAAGTCTGATTTCTCTGTACAATGTGTCAGCTAAAGAAAGGCATTTTGGGCATTTCCAGGCGTAATTATATGGTCTGAGATTTTGAGATTATTTGATCAACTGAGAGAGAGAAAGAAAAAGAGAGCGAGAGAGGTGTACAAAGACATACAAAAATAATGCAAAGAGCGATACATAAGAAACAAAACGAATTTGTGAAAAAATACAAGAAGAAACGAAATGAGTAAAATAGAAAAATATATTAAAACAGATTATCTATGTAAAAGCGAAAGAAAATATTTATATATTTATATTATTTTTTATTCATGCAATGTATAGATTATATTAATGTCCGCACATGCGTACGGGCCGTCCACCTAGTTCTCTTTTATATTTAACGCCACTTAACACATGTGCTTTACTCTAAGGATCTATATACTCGAAGATTTGAAGTTTTTGGGCCGTTAATTAGTTGTTTTGTTAGTGAATATATAGGCTTAAGCGAGCTGCGAGCCTGTGAGTCAAATTATATGGATAACTCCAATTAAATTTCATTAGTTAGTACAGTTTTATTAAAAATAATTTAACAAACTCAGGATTAGCTTGCTCTGTAACCACATCACCATCACAGACAGAAACTGTAGGAGCAGGATGAGGAGAACCACCATTAACGAACGCAAGAAGAGATTGACTTGAAAAAAACGACTCAAATTGAGTTTTCCACAACATATAGTAGTGGATGAAAACTTGAGTGTCACACAGTGTGATATACTCAACGTAGGAGAAGAAATCACTTCATTATCTTCCATGGCTCTGATACCATGAAGATAAGAGAAGCTGTGTTTATGAAGAAGATAACTTTAACTTTCTGTTGTTATTCAACTTGAATGAAACGTTACATCATCATGTTCTTATATACACAAAACTTAATTTTATCCTTAGTCTTTGTGTCAGCATACGACAGAGCACTCGTTCAAAGATTCGAATCTGTTAAACGTCTTGATTTCGTGAGCTGTCAATCCCGTACGCAGCTCTCTTTTGCTTTCCATTCAAACTCCGTGTTGTGACCGTTGTTGTCGCAGAGTGAAGATAGTTGGACCTCTGTTTCACCTGGGCTTTGTTTTCTTAACTGTCTGGGCCCATAATGTCAATATACTGAGTTCATTATAAATGTTTATCACATTCTCTAGCTTATTCAAACGCATTATCATCATTTTTTACAGGAAAACATGAGACTGGTGAAAGGCATCACAAAGAGAAAATATGAGACTTGTGAGTGTTTTTTGTGTACATTGATTTGCTGCTAATGATTATTGTTGTTTTGTGACAAAAAGGATAATCATTGGGAGGAGTGGAAGTAAGCTGCACAAGTTTAGGATCAATTTACTAAGGTTACTCGGTAGCAAACGCTGTTGCAGAATGAGAATGGAATAATGGAATCTGTTCATTGGTGGGCTTTCTTTGAAGACGCATTGAAGATTGAGAATACTTTTAGAGTTTCAGTAAGGTTTGAGAAGTGATGCTCATGAAGGGATCGAGACACTGGGTGTGCTCATGGTTTTGTTTTTTTTGTCTCCGCTGATCCCCGTGTTGCCGAGAGTGTCTTATTGTTCCTACACGTAATTGATGTTAACCTGTAAGTTTTCATCAAGTTTAAGAGATTTTGAGATTATTTGATCAACTAATAGAGAGAAAGAAAAAGAGAGCGAGAGAGGTGTACAAAGACATACAAAAATAATGCAAAGAGCGATACATAAGAAACAAAACGAATTTGTGAAAAAATACAAGAAGAAACGAAATGAGTAAAATAGAAAAATATATTAAAAACAGATTATCTATGTAAAAGCGAAAGAAAATTACAATATATTTATATATTTATATATTTATATTATTTTTTATTCATGCAATGTATAGATTATATTAATGTTCGCACATGCGTACGGGCCGTCCACCTAGTTCTCTCTTATATTTAACGCCACTTAACACATGTGCTTTACTCTAAGGATCTATATACTCGAAGATTTGAAGTTTTGGGCCATTAATTAGTTGTTTTGTTAGTGAATATATAGGCTTAAGCGAGCTGCGAGCCTGTGAGTCAAATTATATGGATAACTCCAATTAGATTTCATTAGTTAGTACAGTTTTATTAAAAATAATTTAACAAACTCAGGATTAGCTTGCTCTGTAACCACATCACCATCACAGACAGAAACTGTAGGAGCAGGATGAGGAGAACCACCATTAACGAACCCAAGAAGAGATTGACTTGACAAAAACGACTCAAATTGAGTTTTCCACAACAGATAGTTAGTGGATGAAAACTTGAGTGTCACACAGTGTGATATACTCAACGTAGGAGAAGAAATCACTTCATTATCTTCCATGGCTCTGATACCATGAAGATAAGAGAAGCTGTGTTTATGAAGAAGATAACTTTAACTTTCTGTTGTTATTCAACTTGAATGAAACGTTACATCATCATGTTCTTATATACACAAAACTTAATTTTATCCTTAGTCTTTGTGTCAGCATACGACAGAGCACTCGTTCAAAGATCCGAATCTGTTAAACGTCTTGATTTCGTGAGCTGTCAATCCCGTACGCAGCTCTCTTTTGCTTTCCATTCAAACTCCGTGTTGTGACCGTTGTTGTCGCAGAGTGAAGATAGTTGGACCTCTGTTTCACCTGGGCTTTGTTTTCTTAACTGTCTGGGCCCATAATGTCAATATACTGAGTTCATTATAAATGTTTATCACATTCTCTAGCTTATTCAAACGCATTATCATCATTTTTTTACAGGAAAACATGAGACTGGTGAAAGGCATCACAAAGAGAAAATATGAGACTTGTGAGTGTTTTTTGTGTACATTGATTTGCTGCTAATGATTATTGTTGTTTTGTGACAAAAAGGATAATCATTGGGAGGAGTGGAAGTAAGCTGCACAAGTTTAGGATCAATTTACTAAGGTTACTCGGTAGCAAACGATGTTGCAGAATGAGAATGGAATAATGGAATCTGTTCATTGGTGGGCTTTCTTTGAAGACGCATTGAAGATTGAGAATACTTTTAGAGTTTCAGTAAGGTTTGAGAAGTGATGCTCATGAAGGGATCGAGACACTGGGTGTGCTCATGGTTTTGTTTTTTCTGTCTCCGCTGATCCCCGTGTTGCCGAGAGTGTCTTATTGTTCCTACACGTAATTGATGTTAACCTGTAAGTTTTCATCAAATATCTTCTGAGCCAATACTTACTTCATTGCTTCAGTATCAATCTGCTTATGTCAATAATTGGTTTTTTTGGAACGTATGTTACTGCTCCTCCAGGTAAAGCTATTCTTTTAATCATTCATGTTTTTAGGTATGTCTTTCATATTGTTATCAGTCAGTGTAATGACGCACTCAAAACATGAGAGAGGGAGAGGGAGAGGGAGAGGGAGAGGGAGAGGGAGAGTCTGATAGATATTTCTGCTGTTTTGTATTCCAAACAGATATAATAAAGAGAATATTTGTTATTTCATTATGCTTAATCTAACTCAGCTGCTTTCTTACAGTATCATGAGTCTGATTTACTCAGAATGATTACCATACATATAAGTTATACTCGCTCAACAAATAAATAGTATATGATAAGCTACGTATGGGAAGAAGAAGCAGATTCAAGCAGTTGTTATTAAGGAAGACACTGATCCTCAACAAATAATTCCTAGAGGAGTATGTTCATACCTTTGCTAACATTTCTCTCTATCTTTTGTATGTTACAAGTCTCTGATATGTTCTTGATGATTTTCCTGACAATGTTAAACTTTTTACTTACAAAGGGACTATGAATGGTCCATATCCAGCATTAATTTCACAGTTGAGTTATATATTGGCTAACAAATTTCAGCATAAATAAAAGAGATAATACATAGATGTTGTATCTGTAATAGCTAGCATGGGAAACAAAGAGATATGTGATCTATTATATTGACCATTTGTAGTGGTTTTTATGAGTATCCAACTTTTGTGCTCATCTATTTTTTTTGCTGGGAAAATTACTTTTTCTCCAACAGTTTATATCAGAAGCCGGTTATTGCCACTTAATCAAATATCTACTATAATTAAAAGGAGCAAATACTCAACTGTCGTGTTACCACGTCAGATTAAATAATCAAAAACGAATTGGACTTTTTTAGTTTTATTTTGTTTTATTTGATGGTGTGTTGGCCCATCTGGCCCAAATATTTGTCGTGTGAACACTAATTTTTGGTTGTTTCTCCTTCTTCTTCTTTGTCGCTGATTGAATTTCTCTGTTCAAATCGTCTCATCGCCACAACCCCATCAATCCATCTCTATGCTTCGCCGAGTCTCATCTCGATGACGGAATCAGAAATATTCTCCGAGGCGTAACCAGATTTGTCGCTGACGAATGAGTAAGAGTGATCTGCCGCAGACGGGAAGATGAGCCGTAGAAGTCGATTGTTAACGGGAACCAGGTTGAGTTCGAGTGAGGTAACGGATCCTCCACTGACACCATATGTGCTTTCGGTTAGCAGTTAGGAGAAGAAGTTGGATGGGTTTGGGTGATGCTAGAAAGAGAAGAGTCAGTAGATCCATCTATGGTTAAGAATCATGTTCATGACATGATACTACATGTTTCAAATACGAGAAGTTATCACTCCCATGATCTCTTAAAGAAGTGAGAGAGAGGGAGAGCAGTATTACTCTCATTGCTATGAAATGGTGGACGAGAGTGGCCGGCTTATATAGATTGACAGATATGTTAACCATGGTATAAAGGAGGAAGAGAAACGCTGTCCTTTAGATCTCGAACGTGTTTGTTTGCTTCAGAGAACCATGTCTATTTTACCACAACGATCTTGGGATGTTTGTGGAGTGGTAAGGTGGTTGTATGTTTTATTTTTAAAATTTTCTTTGATTAATTTGTTATTTTTTGAAAAGGGAATATCAATCTAATCAGAATCTTCATTCCTCATGTGTTATCCTAAGATTGGTTAAGGTATGTGGGTTATCAAGCTTTGTTTAGAAATTTATCAACATAAATGCCGCAAATTGTTGATAAAGCTTCAGACTTTACATGTCTTTGTTTTTAATTGTTCTTTTTTTCAATGAACAGGGGAGAAGAAAGCAATCAATTCTCAGCTATGGCACGCTTGTGTAGGTCCTTTGGTTTCACTGCCTCCTGTCGGAAGTCGTGTTGTTTACTTCCCTCAAGGACATAGCAAACAAGTAGAGTCCAAACGTAGATACAAAACGCAATTCTTCTAGCGTTTTGAAACAATTGATCCAAGTAATGATATGATCCAAATGGACTCTTTTGTAGGTTGCAGCATCGATGCAGAAGCAACAGATTTCATTCCAAATTACCATAATCTTCCTTCTAATCTGATTAGCTGTTACTTTACATGTAAGCCTCTCTTATGATCTCAATTTGTGAATCAATATCAAAGAAGAGCTAATCATGACTTTTGTGAAAATCTGAATCAGGCTGATACAGAGACGGATGAAGACTATGCACAAATGACTCTTTAACCTGTGAATAAGGTCTGAATCTTCACCCTCCATCAGTTTTAACTTGTGGTGTCTTGGTTGAGAATTTAACAACTTTATAAGCTGATCTTTGCTTGATCACTCAAATTGTGTTTCAGAACGACAGGGAAGCATTACTAGCTACTGATATGGGTCTGAAGATAAACAGACAACCTACTGAGTTTTTCTGCAAGACACTTACAGCAAGTGACACTAGCACTCATGGTGGATTCTCTGTACCACGTCGTGCTGCTGAGAAAATATTCTCTCCTCTTGTATGTCTCTCTCTGATCAAACCTCAAACTGTTTTGTTTCATTTTTTTTTGCTAAAGTTCTGAGGACGCTTTTAAATAGGATTTGCGATGCAACCCCTGCACAAGAAATTGTAGCTAAAGATTTACACGACAATACATGGACATTTAGACATATTTATGGAGGTATATATCATCCCAATCAGCTTAGAAGAATGAATATTTCAAGTCTGATTTGTTTCCTTTGCTATAATCTGATCTCAGGCCAACCAAAAAGACACTTGCTTACCACTGGTTGGAGCGTTTTTTTAGCACAGAGAGACTATTCGAAGGAGATTCAGTTTTTTTTTGTAAGGTATGATGAGTTCATACTTAGATCAAACAGTAAGCAGAAAATGGACTTTATTGTTCTCATCAGAGGTTATAAACTGTTTTGCAGAGATGAGAAAGCACAGCTGAGGTTCGGTATAAGACGTGCAAATAGACAAAACTGACTCTTTCCTCATCGGTAATATCCAGCGACAGTATGCACATTGGGATTCTTGCAGCTGCTGCTCATGCCAATGCCAATAGCAGCCCTTTCACCATCTTCTTCAATCCAAGAGCAAGTCCTTCAGAGTTTGTAGTTCCTCTAGCCAAGTACAACAAAGCGTTGTACTCTCAAGTATCTCTTGGAATGCGGTTTCGGATGATGTTTGAGACTGAGGATTGTGGTGTTCGAAGATATATGGGTACAGTCACCGGTATTAGTGATCTTGACCCTGTTAGATGGAAAGGCTCCCAATGGCGTAACCTTCAGGTACTTCAGGTACTTTATTAATTACTATAACACCACGATATATTCACTCACAAATTCCTTCATGTAGACCCGTTAGCTCTTCGCTTGCTATACCGCCTTCTTGCATTTGATCCCAAAGACCGTCCCGCAGCTGAAGAGGTAAAACTCCTCTTTACTAATTTGTACTTTCAAAGTTTCAGACCATTAAACATGTGTGTATGTGTTTGTGTGAGTAGGCACTGGCAGATCCTTACTTTTATGGACTGGCAAACGTGGAACGGGAACCATCTACCCAACCGATTCCAAAACTTGAGTTTGAATTTGAAAGAAGGAAAATAATGAAAGAAGACGTGAGGGAATTGATCTATAAAGAGGTACACTAATCTCCTGAACTCATACTGTTTTGTTTGGATTGGTTATGCTCTGAAGAGGGTATTAGTCATTTAATTTTTGTTCTTACAAAAACTTGCAGATACTAGAGTATCATCCTCAGATGCTACCATATAAAGTTTTGCATTTTGACATCCGTTGTGTTCTGTGTTGGGTTACGTTTCTGTTTCAGAGAGAGAGAGAGAGAGTCCTAGCTCCTAAGGAAGAGAACAACCTGCAGCTTCTTTGGCCCCGACACCCGTAAGCCCTCTAAATTCTCAGCACAAGGGCTCAAATTACATGAACGGAGTAAGCCAGACGGGTTACAGTGCCCAAATGTTATGAAGCTTATTGTTATCTAATGTACGCATTTTTCATAACTTTTATTATTATTTTTATGTTTGGTCCCAATTGTCTAAACTACCACATTCTGAATAGAAATGTTTATATTTACATTAGCTACATTTACGCTCCATTTTATAAAATTAAATAGATACTTATAATCATAGAATTAACTAATCTACACTTAGAGTTTAGATTTGAGGGATATTGTTTTAAAAGATCAGATGTTGGATTTTAATATATATATATATATATATATATATATATAAATAAATTCTTACCTTTTTAAAAAATAGTTAAAAAAATTGAATTTGAAAATGAAAATTTGAAAAAAGAAATATAAAAAAATAGAAAAATTTATATTTTGAAAATGTATAATTCAATAACTATATAATAATAAAAATTCAACTTTACACTAAATACTAAATATGCAGAGTACATGGCAAAGAAGAAGAACAACATGTGTTTCTCATTCTTTGCTGTATTAGTTATGATAATCATTTTCTAGAGATTAAATCTTATACCTATTTTAAAATAACAGAATATTTGGCAGAAGAAAAAAGAATTCATATTCCAAATAATAAAAATAAAATTCTATAAAAATACTCCAACTAAATTTTCTCACGATTTTTAATACCCAAACTTATTTGATATTTCAGCTAATTATTTTGCTTTTAATACGTGTGCTCATTTTACTACCCAACTTATGCTCATTTTAATCAAAAACATAAATAAATTCCAAACAAAACTTAAAAAAACTTTGAAACAAAAATAAATCTGAAAACTTTCAAATTTAATTTCAAGTTTAGGAATAAAGTAACTAAATTGTGGATAAAATATTAAAATTTAAAAATTATTTAAATAAATTAATTAATTAATTTTAAACTTCAGAAAGAAAACTAAATTTTAAATGTAAACTACAACTAATAATATAGTTTTGAATATTATCCACAATTTAGATACTTTATTCCTATCACTTAAAATATAAATATAAATTTTAAGATTTATTTCTATCAATTTTGAAGTTTTTTTAAAAATTTCATTCGAACTTATAAATAATCTGGGAATTAAAATGAGTACAATTTTAAAATTATGTGTATTAAAATGAATAAATAATTAATTTAGTTATGAAATTGGATAATAAAAAACTCAATGATATTTAGTTGATGTATTTTCACTGATTTTTCAATGATAAATTAATAAAAGTACATATAGTTTATTAAGTTAAATATAAACACAAACAATTCAAGGGACATAATAGTACAATTTTTTTTTTTAAATATTAAAATACATAATCCGTGTGTAGCGCGGAGAAAGGATCTAGTAATATAAATTATTCAAAATTAGGGGTGCACCGGCTATTGTAAAAATCTAATTTTAATGTAAGTATATATGTGTTTTTTACACCAATTTGCAGTACAAAATCTAAACAAAAAATGAAGTGACGTATCAAAACTTTATAGTGATAAACCTGATGGTTGATCAATAAAAGAAAGTGAGAAATCTATAGAGCATCATATTATGTATGAACTGAAAATGACATGGGAGACGAAAGAACTATAAATGTACAATATCAGCTTTTGAATTATTCGATGTGGAAACTGCAAGATCCCATGTCTCTGGCAAACTACAAACAGTGATGAACGACACTGGTATTGGATAAGTGCGATGGCTACACCATCAATGTTCACACGTGCCTTCACTGTGGTTAATGGGTCAATTACTTTCTGACTATATTCAGCTTATACTCGGTTAAAGTTGGATACAACCTTATGACCAATAAACCTTAAAGAAGTAGGGTCTGAACTGAGAAAGCAAACCTAGATAGCGGCTGCTAGAATATTCCATGTAGCTTTCTTGGATTAGCTTACAAACCGATGTCGTCTGGTTGGCTTCACCATCCAACATGTTGTGAAGCTCTATAATGATCAGTGGTTAGATATTGCATCTACTGGTACAAAGCTTAACAAAAAAAAAGTGAATCAATAATGCACTTTAGCACCATCTTTATATAGTTATCATTTTTGCTTGTGTATTAAACCTAGTAAGAAGCCAGAGTCTCACACTTTCATGTACATGTAGTCTTAAGGAGTTGTAGCTCTCCCCTTTTCTGGAGCAGCTTTAGTACTTTACCATCACATCCATTTTTCACAAACTTGAATTCACTTCATGGTGTATATTTAGGGTTTAGTTGATGGTGAAGATAGATAAAAAAAACAAAAAGAATTAAAATTAAATCAGTAGAAAATGATTTATTATATACCTTGTTCACGTTTTTGATGTATGCATCCTACCTTGTTCTAGAAAAAAACACGGTTTTTGTCCAGCTGGTCCATGATTTCTGAAAACTAGGAAGTGATCAGTTAAAGGAGGAAGATAGATTCTCAAGTTGTATATTTCATCTTAGATGCTTCAAGGGTCTTTTTGTGCGTAACTTTCATTAAAACTTGATTTACATACAATCAGTGAAATAATAAATAAAGTGGCTTAAAACGGTATGAAATTTAATATGCAAGAATTTGGTTATGTTTTCAAAGGGGTAAAGGAAGAAGAAGAACACATTACTACTGACTATCTGGGAAGTTTGAAAGAACATTTGTGATTTAGAGTTTTGAATTTGTGGGAGCTGATCCAATCTATAACGCTTCTTAACTACTGGTGAGTCTCAACCGAATCCTTTGTGTGGAGATATTTATATTATGAGTTTTTCCTGGTTACTCTAGGGAGGAGATAAACTCAACTGAATGTTTAAGAGTGGGGAGAGTGGGTCAATACGACCTTGAGGCGTTACTGAGAAGCAATCGTCTGACTTTGGTCTCTATAACTTAGGTCGGATATGGACGAATGCACAGCGAAGAAGACGATTCACTACGCCTCGCAACAAAACATATTAAACATTGTGTAGAAGACCAAACCCATTTAAAAAATTTAACAAATTTCTATAGAAGCCCATAACCTATTAAAAAAATCAACGAATAAGAATGTGACAAGTATATTAATTCTCCCAAATGAGTGAAAAAAGCCAACTTTATTATTAAAGATTTCAAATAAAACGAAAAAATATCTAAAATTTGATATTATACCATATATGAAATCAAAAGAAGGAGCGAGAGAAAAAAAAAAAGAAATTAACAGCAAATTAAATTACTCCCTTTTACGGTATTGGTAATCAAAATTTCCGGTTTCATAATTTATAAGCTTACTTTATACTATCAAAAGATATATGATATAGAGTTAAACAATTTAGCAAAACACTTTCAAAATTTATATGCATAAGCAAATAAAAATATTACAAAAAATTACAAAAATGTGAAATAATAATTTATTTTACATAGATATATTTAAATGTAAATTATTTTCACAAAATCCAGTAACTAAAGATCTACGAGTTAAATACAATTAATATATCTACATATTTTTGACTGTCTTTTTACACTTACATTTAGTCCATAATAATTTTTTTTAACTATATCTACTAGCTAGATTGTAAGATATTTTTTTATGTTTATAACTAATTAAATAAAATAGTAAATAATAATATTTTCTTAAATTTTCAGTGTATTGAACACATACAAATTTTCAATAGTTGTTTTACTTAAAGCAAAGAATATTCAAATTACTTATTATAATTTTGAAAAATAGATTATAATCGTAATATAATATTTTATACAAGACTAAATAACATATAAATAAAAACATAGACATGATATAAATAATACATATAGCCAATAAATTATTGATGTTGAAATTAATAATGTATTTACATAATAAGCTAAATTTCGTGTTTGTACGTATCAATTTTTCTCTTACGAAAAATCAATATCTTTCTAAGAGCTATCCACATAACACCAAAAGTGGTTTATATTGGAGAGAGTTCATTTGGTTTTCTTGGTCATGGCAAATTGCCTCCAGGTTGTTGAATAGAAAATGTCATTTCTAAAAAGATTATTGTATAAGGCAATCACCTCTGTTTTATCCTTACTGCTAGATTTTCATGTTTGGTTTAATATGCAGAACTTCGAATCTTTGCCAACTGACACAATTTGGTCAATCAAAGTGGTTGGTGAGTTGGACAAGAGTGATGGAAGTGCTAACATTCAAGACACAAGATGAAATAAAAAAAATACAAATAGTTCCCATGACCTCTGGTATATGGATATGTTTTTAGCCCTTGGTGTTTCTGGTATATGGATCAGTTTTTTTTTTTCTCTGACTGAACAAAGAAACTATGTATCTATAAGAAATTGTATGCTATTTTGGATATAATTTGTATATTTTAAATAACAATATATGTGCCAAAAATTATTTTGGTTTATTGTTGGTATGGAATTTTAACGGATAGCAGATCTATGGGTTAAGGTGCCAATAATTTGTAGATATTGTAGTATAATTAAAACAAGAATTCTGGATATTAAGTCAGTTATAAAGATTATCGGATTGATATATATATATATAGCTCTTGTTTCAACAATATTTACAACTATCTGTCACTGATTATTTTTAAGATATGATTTTATTAAATACTTTTATTTTTTTTAGTAAATCACAGATAACCATCTCATAATTTCGTGTAATATTTTTTTTTACTTCTTTAGATAATTTACCATGTGTAATTATAATTTAAATATATATTTTCTATCATGGCTATATGAATTAATATATATCAAAAGTTTTAGGTGTTCTTCTCTTTTGAAAGTATTTAAAGCTGTGCCATTTGATAGTATTATTTAGTGTAATTTTTAATTACAAATATATATATGATATCATATAAGGTTATTTCTTATTCTATAGATAAATGGGTTAATATGTATTTGTAATTAAATTTAATATTATTTTCGATTTTATTATAAAACTATATTAAACGAAAAAATATTTATATTTTAAATAAAAATATATTAAAATTTATTGTTAAAACGTAATCTT